CTGTGTCTAGAGGGTTGCTCTGTTGCTGAATCTTTTGTTCTTCTCAAGAATCCACCTAACTCTTGCCTAGGCAGTTGTAGATGAGAGCTCGGCCTCCACGTGCCCTTGTGCTGCCAGCAGCTCAACAACTGCCACAGTCCAGAGGTAATTAAACACTGAGTGCTAGTGTAATGTGTTTGTCTGTGTTTACTGCTGGGTGCTCAGCCAGCCACATTTCATCTGGAAATGTTGATCATTTTCATGCAACTTTATTCCTATAGTACAGCTCCACGGGTTAGCAGGGCTGTGTGCCTTTCCCTTCACCTCTGCTTTTGCAGAGACATTCTGCCATCAGCAATTGGAAAGAATGTGCCCAGAATAGCTTTTCCTGATTCCTTTGAGTATTCCTGGGGACTACTGATGGATCAACATTAGGGGCCCATTTAAGGTGTTCCCGAGTCTGGGTGGCAAACGTAGCAAGGCGAAGGCTCTGTTGCTTTTGAGGTTGGTAGCACTGCCTCTTGGGCTGGGATGGCAGAGGAGTGTGCAGCTGGAGGGCAGTGGGAGGGTCAACACCACCTGCCTCCAGCTGCTGCCCACCGGTGCCTGGCACTGGGAGGGCCAAAACTGGAAGCACCTCAGGCTTCACAGGCACCTTCTTATCTCTCTCTCTCTCTCTTTTTTTTTTTTTTTTTTTTTTTTTTTAAGGTTTTTTCCCCTAGGGGTAGAACCCAGCTTTGCTTGTTCTTTGCCCAGTCCCTGAAGCAGCAGTGCCCAGCATTCATTATGCACTATAAATTGCAAAGACATTCTAATTAGACAGCTCTATAATCTCCTGCTGCTTTGGATCAAATGTCTTCCGGTGTAAACAAAACCCCATCGTGCTTTAAGAAGTGTGTCAGATCAAGAGCTGTTGCATCATGTGAGCTTAATCCAGTGCGATTTGCTCTAAAATCAGGCTTTTTGGTGGGGAGGGAGTGTTGGTCTGCAGCGTACACTCTAAGAAGGTTGCTTTACGAGAAGAGCATAAAAATACGTAAGTGTTTATCGCTGCCATATGTTTTCTTTTATTTCAGGGCATTTGGTTGGTGATGCAGTTATACAAGGGAGCCAAAATAGTTTCTTTCATGTGCTTTGCCTGCCAGTGTGAAAAAAGTCTAACACCTAATGTCTAAAAGACATTAAATTGAAGGGAGAAGCATCTGTGCCAGAAAATATAACACTGAAATTGAGAAGTGACTTATATACAAAAGTAAAAAGAATATGTGGGAGACTGTAAGTGAGGAACAGTTCCTGTGCAAGTGCTTGGTTTCACTCTGAGATAAGAAGCAGCTCTGGGCCTATGTGGGTCATTGGCTTCTGTAACAATATACCTTAAAGAGAGTCTGTAAAGTATCAAGAGCAGATTTTAAATGTATTAATTACAGTATCATGTGAAAATACAAACTCCTCTGAGAGGTCAAGAGCAAAACTGTTCTGTTTTGCTGAATCTGCTGTGAGTAGATTTTCTTGGCATGAAAAGTTCCAAAATAGGGGCTTTCAGCCAGGGGACCCTGGCTGCTGCTAGCTCCTGACTTCGCTGTTTGGAATGTGGGCATCTTAGGAACTAGCTTGTTGTATGGGAAGCCACATGTTAAGCCTGGAAGGTAGCGGTGTGTGTTACTAAACTGAGTAATCTGAGGTCAGCCACTGACATATGGTGGTGATTAAAAACAGGCCTGAAGATGGTGGGAGCAAGTAACCTTTAATTTAACGGAGTGAAAAGCCTGCTGCAGACCAGCAGTTACACAGGCTGACGTCAAAGGCGCCTCTGGTGCAATGAATCAGTTACTGAGCAAGGAATGGGTTGAAATGTGAAAGTAGAAAGTGCTAAATGCACGAGCTGGTGGACATGTTGATTATGTCAGCATGTTTCTGACCAGCTCTTCAGGGCATACGGTTCACCTGAAACATCTCCTAATGGGTAGGGATGCTGTAACTTGAAAGGGTTTGGTCATTTGCAGCACCGTTGATATCAGCTCTTGGCCGCAGTTGTTTTACCTGCCAAAAGACACCAGCTTCTCAACAGAATTTCCAAAGCGGGGCTGGGAGCTGTACTGCTCCAGAGCCAGAGCTACGTGTTGTCTGTCCTCAGAGCACGTAATGACCATCAAAGTAGGGAGAGGATGCACAGACTTTCCTGGAATATAAGGAGGAACAAAAGGAAAAATGTGAATATTTCTATCTTTAAAAATCCTCAAACTTTAGTGGTGTCTTGTGATTGGCATTGGAACAATCAGTTCCTCAGAGGTCAGACTTTTTACAGATAAAGTCAAAATTATACTGAGAAATGGTGAACTGCTTGAGATAACTGACGACCTGACAAGGAGGCTGAAGGTTGGCAGGCAGGTTGGCAGTAAACGTGTAGCTGATCCTGCAGATTCCTCTAACTAACAGCTTGTCACCGGGAGGAACTTTCCTATGGCAGATAGACAGCAAGCAATTTGAAAACCTTATTGATACAACTGGAGGAAAAGGTTAAAACATAGTAAAAATGTGTTAAAGTAACATAGAGATGAAATCAGTGAGGTTTCTTTTGTTTTTTAATGTACCAGAAAAGGATTCAAAAGAAAGAGTCACTTGCTGAGTTCTTCTCTAAAAGGCAAAGGCTTCTCTATTTGTGCTTTGCTTGTGAGGCTGCAGAGAAGCTCAGAGCTGGCATGGGGGAGCAGGAGGAGGGACACTCAAGAGCCAGAACAGGGCAGGTTTCCTGATTGATCCTGGGCCTAGATTAAATTCTATTACATTTTAAAAGAAAAAAAAAAGAATTGTGGCTGTTTTTTATATGTATTTGGATCATGACAACCTTGCAAAGGAATTAGTTCTTAGTAGCTTAAAACTTGTTTTCTTCGATATAAAATGAAATATATAACAGAAGATAAGTGCACATAAGAGAAATCTTCTTTAAGAATCGAACCCTAGAGCAGATGGCCCAGAGGGGTCATGGAGTCTCCACCCTTGGAGACACGCAAAACCCAACTGGACACGGCCCTGCACAACCAGCTGACCCTGCTTGAGCAGGGGGCTTGGAGCACGTCATCTCCAGAGGCTCCTTCCAGCCTCAGCCAATTCTGCCTTCCTGTGTTTCCAACATTTTTCTGTAGTTCATAGACTGAGGCTTTTCAATCCAATTTTCAGCCTGAAGCATATTTTTATGACCAAGTTTAAACTCCTGATAAGAGGTTTATAAGGGAAGTGCTGACAAAACCTTTATGACAACAGTGCAAATGTGCAACTGTTATATAAAGAGAGCTTGGTAAAAGGTCTGGAGTTAGGGATTGACCTGAAGCTCATGCAAGTCAATGCAGTAGGAAAATTACAAGTCTCTCATGATTTTCTGCATCACGTAGCCCTTTAATATCTGTTTTCAATTTCCTCTTAAATTAGTAGAGTATCTATTTCATAGTGTATTTGATCTGATTTTCTTGATGTGCTTTCAAAAGCCATTATCAGCAGGAGAACCATCTGAGCTTGCTTTTATTTGTGTGAGAGTTGTTTTCATTTATTTTGAAACTCATCAGGTTTCTTATCTATCTTGTGTTGCTCTGGGATTGTATTGTTTGTGTAGTGATACGTTTTCTCTTTGGAGAGGTGGTCATACAAATACAGTATCTATTATTATTTTAAATATATGGCTGCTTAATTTGTGGACTTAGACCCAAAGGCTGTGGGCCTCATTTTTCAGTGTCACTCGTGGGTGGGATGTTGTGAAGATGTGGGTCTTCCCTGTGCTGTCCTGGGGTTGTTTCATTTCTGCACTGAGAACCGTAATCTGATGTTGCCGGATTGTTGCCAGCTGGCTCCAATTCCGCAAGGTGCAGGCACTCTCATTTCCCATTAATTTCAGCAGCATTTGGGAGCCTCAGCACCCTGAGGCCGAATTATGCAAAGCCTCTTGGGCCCCACGTCAGCGTGAAGAGCTTAGTTAAGAGAGTAGATCTGTTCTTCAGCCTGCCTGGCTCCTGGGAAAGGAAGGTGGTAAAATCTGGGCCTTCAGTCAGAAGAATCATTTTTTTTGGGTAGGACTGCTGAGTGTAGACCTTGACACTGATGGATACCTCCCATTTCACATGAGGAAGCTCTTATCCCAATTTCCTGAGTAAAATATTTCAGTGCAGTTATTCATACTTAGGGCTAGCTGTGTTTTGTTTTTGCTGTTCAGGCAGGTTTCAGAAGCACTCTGGTTAGGAAACAGATGTGTGCCACATACTATTTCATGTCTGAATTCTTTTCCCTATGAAATATATTTTTTAAGTGATAGCAAAATATGCATTTGTGTTTTTAACTTTTTTAATTGAAGCTTCTATATAGTTACAGTCAATGTTAAAATATATCCTATTTGTGCTGAGCTCCCCTTGGTCACAATCAGTGTTTAATAATTTCTTTTATCATAGAATCAATATATATGAGCTGACTTTTAAAAATTCTGTATCTGTTTCTTCCAGTAGTCTCTAGAAAGTAAAATCACTAGGTGGAAAGTCTTTTTTATTTAGGAAAACAGGTCATGCTAATGGTTCCTCAGTCAGCAACAAAGACCTGTTGGAGAAGATACTTATTTTATGGTTCGCTGACCTGGCAATTTGATCAATATTATTTTGAATTAGTCTTTTTTTTTATTATTTTTATTTTTTTTTTTTTTTATTTTTTTTTTATTTCACTGGTGACATCTCTTTTTACAGGTACACTAAATGCATGCCATAAAACTGCTCCGGACATTATTAATAGATCCTACTATGTCTTTCACAGAGTCCATTGTGGAGGCTGCGCTTCATTCACACACGTGGTTTTATTTTACTTTTCTAATGAGCGCTGGTGATTCTGTGGTGATACTGCACGAGCAGTAGCTGGTCTTTGTGCTGATTCCCTTTGAGGAATGCACTGCAGGCTTTGGGTGCTTCTCCCAAAATATTAGGGAACATTGATCTATTGCTCTTGCATTCAGACGTACCGGAATGACTGTGTTTCCTGTTTATCTGTTGCAGGTGGGCTGTGCCTGTGCTTTTGAGGTGCTCAACCTGTGGTCTCTGGGTGGGACCGTAGCCTGGATCCCCACAGTGCCCGAGTTGTGTGTATGAAGAGCAGCTTCATCCCCCTGCTTGCCTCCCACCAGTGGCGAAGGGGCAACTGGCTGGTGGAAATTGATGGGATTTGCTGGACTTTGTGCTTCTGATAATGCTGAGTAAAAGTGAAGAAGAGCTGCTGCCAGAGTTTCATTTCCCTGCCACATTTAACTGTTGCAACTGAATGCAAGCCAGATTTCCAAGGAGAAGGTAAGAATCTTAAATGAAAAATACCTGTTCTTGTGAGCCAAATGCAATTCCAACCAAAGAAGGAATAGCACATAATAGAAAGAGTGCAGTGTAGATTGGAGACTTGTAGCAGAGTGATTTGTTATTTATTTTCAGGCAGTCTAGTATTTCATACAACATTTGGTACCACTTCCTGTAAGTTTTTTTATTACCAGGCAGCAAAAACATCTGTGCACCAAGTATGAAAAACATGGATGGTATTTACAGGGCAAGATGGCTACAGGTGGAGGGAGCTTCACAGGTAATCTGGTGTTTCTGATCTTATTCCTCTGCCATAAAGAGATGGCTTGTAAGGTGCTTAATGTTGCGTTAATAAGGATGTGAGAGGAAATCATGGTATCTGGAAGTGACAGAGCTGTATGGAAAATGGTAACTTGAGGGCAGAGATTAAGAGCGGTTGTTGTAGTAGAGGTGTTGCAGAAACAACATGCCAGAGTGTGAGCATGGACAGGTTTGTAAGGCTTTTGAAGAAACGAGAGAAATGTGATTGGAATTTTAAAATATGTCCGTAAGTTACATATTCTGCATTGAGAGAATTGCTTTCAGTTGCACATAATAACTCAAAAGGAAGCAATCCCTGGAAAAAGGTGGTTAATACAGTTACAAGAAGAAAAGATAGTGAAATTTCTGGATAAGCAACAAGAGAAAGGCACCATCATGATGAAGCAGGATGGGCACTTGGCTGGAGCACAAAACTCCATTTGCCTTATCCAGATATTTCCATGACCTGCTCTGTGAGTTCCTCATCTGTAAACTGGGAAAACTGTCCATCTTCTGAAGTGCTTACAGTATCTTAACCTGGCAAATCACAGGAAATCCGTAACTTCTCAGAGAAACCAGTGTGTGTTACTTTCTAAAATATCTGTTCTTTCCTGGGGTCAAGGGTAAAATGTTCAACTTGTTGCTGGTTTTAGCAATAGCAGAATTAATGTTTAAATTTGGATAATATAAGTAGCACAATTATGGAAAAATAGCAGTGGAATCCTGTAAAGAATTCAAGCCATCATCATAATATTCTTTGGGGTGATCTTAAAAAAAGTGTCCAGCAAGAGCATTTTTATCTAAAACAACTTGAGATGGCTCTGACTTTGAGAGAAGTTATTGGTAAGTTTCCTGTAGAACTGTCCTGAAACTTTTTGTTTGGTTGTTTCAATTTCCTTACAATAAAATACTATCTTAAAATGTAGTTATTCCAAATTCAAAGTGACTTGTTAAGAGTCATTTAATAAGAACGCTTAATAAAGTAAATGGTAGAAGTGTGCTTATAGTTTATGTAGCTGCTACCTTGTAAGAATAGCTGCAGCCAAAAGTGCTATTTTACTAATGTATAAAATGAATTTTACTTTGTAATCCCTTTGAAAGATTTTAGTGGTATTTAAAACAGACACTCTGGACGTCAATTAATGTAATTGTTCAAATATAGCTTTTGGATTTTGTTTTTTAATATATCTAGTGAGTAGAGTGAAAGCAAACTTTGCAAAACCGCAGGCTGGATGGTCAGTTGAGTGTTTGTGGACTTGCACAGTCTGCAAAACTGGAGTGTGAGTCTGAACGTTTGGCCTGTGTTATGGAGAGAGAAGGGAGGGATGCGTCTGAGCCAGGATCCTTATGGACCCTATGGTCGGTGTGAGGAGTAGGATGGGTGGGTGCTCTGTAGAGCCTGTACAAGGTGGTACAAGTTGTCCCTTTGGTCGGTCAGTGTTCTCCGTGTTTCTGCCTTTCAGCGTTTTCAATGAGCAGTCTCTTTGTGTTTAAAGAATTAGTATTGTTCCTTTAGGTACGCAGAGGAGGCCGTGGTTGATCTCAAGGTTTTCAGACCCAAGTGTTGCTCCTGTTCTGTCTGCAGGTAACTTTGCTTGGGCAAGTTTTCCTGTTATGTAAAGAACATTTTCCAATGTGCGAACTTTCTGAGCACAAACTTAGCAGAGCTCATTACCTAGGTACCGACCTGATCGTGTTGCCAAGTCTTGGGAAAAGGTGTCAGAAACAGATACCTGTTTTCTATCTGTCTTTTTGGGGGTGTGTTGCTGTTGTTATACACACTGGTAATTGGTAACTATAAAAGGTAATGAGGCACCTGGGACATTGGAGTTATCTAAGACAAATATGCAGCAGATTCTTCACCAGATTCTTTGTGCACTGACAGTGAAACAAGTGGCGAAGAGGCAGAGATTAACAGTGAAGTGGAGTCAAATCCTAGGGATATTGGCTTTCACATTTTGTCCAACTTTGCTTCATAAATGGCCCAGAATAGATGTGGAAATAAGAAGGTCTCTGTGTGATGTGCAGGGGAGCTGTGAGCCGCTCACGCTGGTGTCTCTGCAAGGCGCCAGCCTCGTGTTCCTGAGCGCTCCTGCGTGGCCGGGCTTCCTGGCTAGGGCAGAACGGCGGTTTTGAGAGCGGCTCCGAGAGCTCCGCTCTTGTAGGTGCCCTCGCTGAGTTGGTATCTGGTGCACGGCAGGTGCCACAGACACGCAAGATTAACGTTAGATAATTTATATTTAATTGCACTGTCAGCACACACTGTTTTACAGTCAATTGATGCTTGCCTCTTGGATAAAAATAAACAGGCTTGGCATTTTTGATGTTCTGCACTGCTGAATATATAAATACAGCAGTATCTAGTTAAAATAAATGATAGCATGATATTTAAAAATAAAGTATTTTCCTTTAAGATATCAACCAAAATTAAATGACATCTTTCCTACTCTAGCCTTTCTTCAGCTCTGGATTTCTCATGTTCTCCCTGTACTATTTCTAATGGATTTTGAGTTTGTAATGTTATTGCATTGAATATGATCTCCATATGGTGCAGGTGCTATCAGCTCTGCTATAAGAGCTCTGCTGTTCCTTAGTAGCTTGGAGATTTTCAACAGGGTAATAGGCATGATTTTAAGAATTACATACATAATTAAATAACCCTTTTTCCAAATAATGAGCCTCTTCTCAACTAGCAATATTACTTGCAGTGTATCATAATATTTGAAGAATTGTCAGAGCACGTATTTCCTCTCAAAATGAATTCTCTGGAGGATGATACATTAAATGAGGGTGAAAATAGATACCTTCGGTGCGAATGCATTGGAATTACATTCGTAACACATTACTGGGATGCTGAAGAGATCACCAAAGAAGTTTTTATCATTTTATATTTGTGGAGCATTTCAGAAAGTATAATTGAACCAACAACCGTGGCATGATTTGAGGAATACGTGATCACCAAAGATGTGATTCCGCTTATCTGAAAGGATTCTGCCCAAATCCCTGCAGGCCTAATGAATTAATGTCTGCCCAAATCACATTATAATGATCCATAATTTATACATAATGTTTATTCTAGAAGGGGAAACCTTTTTGAACTTGCGCTTTTTATACTAACAAGAATTATTCTTTTTATTGCTGCATGCAGTAGCTTTTTGCCTTCTGTGCTTCCCTTCTATTTCATTCATTTATTTAGTAGCATTAGTCTGTTGATTAGCAGGCATTAATGAGCTATTTATATTCTGAGTATTAAAAATCTGTGTTGTATCGTGATTTGAAGTTGTTACTGTCCTGCGGAAACACTCTTTGCCTGATGCAAAGCTCTTCTGCAATCACTCAGAGAGCTCCCTGGTTGTTACAGGCCATACAGGATGGGAAACGCTCCTTTCGTCTGATTTCTCGGGATAGATCCCCATTTCTTAGAGTTTCTCTGTCTCATGCTGTGTGCATTAAACTGTAAAGATGAGCAGTATTACAGTCCTGTACAGACAAACCTCTTTTCAGCATGTAGAAATGTTTTAAACTATTTTAATATATTTTTTAATATTTTATTTTATTTATAATGATGCTACCTAAAAATCTATTTCTTCAGCAGGCAGTGGAAATCATGCCTAAAAAGTGTACTCCAAAACACCTGTCAAGCAGTCGTAAATCTCCTTGAGCCTGCCTTTTAAAAAAAAGAGCTATAAGTGAGGCTGGGCAGGGTTTAAGCTGGCATCGCCGTGTCGGGCGCTAAGGCAGCGAGCACTGTGGAGGGTCCTGGGGTCGCATCTAGCTGCAGCCAAATCCACCGCATGCAGGCAGGTGATTCACCCTAACAAGGAGCTCTCGGAGAGGAGAAGAGACCCGAAAGGGAATTGAACTGCTCTGACACGAGTAGGGGGAATGAGAGCTGAATTCCTCAGTGGTGCCGAAGCCGGCGATGGTGTCGCCAGCACAGGCAGGAGGAATCCCTGCTGCGGCGCAGAGGCTGCATGGGCAGCAGTGGGGCTGATGCTCAGGTATTCCGGGGAAACCGGCCAACCCAGAGTGTGCCACCATGCTTCTCTCTCTGTCTTAAGACATCATTTGTTGTCTGTTTACTGGAGGCACTTGTTGCTGTGCCTTTAGCTCACAGCCAAGCCAGACGGCGCGGGCAGCAGGAGGAGCGTGGGCCCGTGGCAGCCTCTTATGCCGGGTGGCTGGATGGCAGCCCTACAAGCAGCCCCTCGAGCTCCTGTTGCCTTCCCAACTAATGAACATCACTGGCTGCTTTGGACAGGCCGAGTGTGAGACGAGGGGAATCGTGCGAGGGGTGCGGGTGAAGGGGGGTGAGCGGCCTGCGTTCCTCCACGCGCAGGCCGTTGGAACGTGCGGCTGCCCGTGTTTTCACACTTGTCTTTATCAAGAGCAACGACTGCTCTGTGCGTTGAAGTGTAGAAGCTTGTGGTGGTGCGCACGGGCCGTGTCTCTCTCCTGCTGGTTTTTTTTTTTTTTTTTTTTTTTTTTTTTTTTTTTTTTTTTTTTTTTTTTTTTTTTTTTTTTGTATAAAAAATGCATTATATTTCAGATCAACTGCTCCTCTTTTTCTTCCTTCATAATTTTTTAACGTTATCTTTGAAATTCTAGAATAAAAAGCTAGAAAGAAGTGTCAGAGCTGAGCAGCTCCAGTTCGTCTGCTTTGGTTCCAGCGTTGCATAATTAGATCTTCTGCAGACTTA